TAAAGCCTTTATGACTGTTACAATATTGACTATCTTGCTTGAAAAAATACAAATATCACGAGGATTATCAGAAAGTTTAGAAAGTTGTTTAATCTTGTCCATCTCCGTAATAACTAATGCATCAGGTCGTCCAAATCTTGCTTCCAAGAGTGACAAAATCTCTCCAGGCTCCACATCTGCTATAAACAAAGAAATGGCAGCTTCCTTGGCTGCCCCTTTCAGGCATCTTCTTAGCCGCACCAAATTTTCCAATTTAGAGAAATTACTGCTAGTTTCATTATATGCTGCTCTAAACGCTAACCACTCACTACTTGCCCCGCTAAAAATAGGTAATTCGAATAGCGTTTTTGGGCTATGCATCGCTCGTGCGGCTTCAGTAAGCGCAGGTACGAGTGTCTTAATATCGAGCTGCTGATTCGAAGTTGTTTGAGCATCATGATCATTTGAATCTAACCAATCTCTAACTAAACTATCTCTCTCTCTGAAGCCTTTATTTTCCGCCAAGCTATCCAGCTCACTGCCCTGCGCTTCAATAGCCGCTAATTCAGCTTCAGCGAAAGCGGCCTTAGCGCAAGCCTCTTCTATTCTTGCAGCTGCTAATCTTTTTAAAGTCTCTGCCCGCTGCACACTCTTCTTGCTCATCACCGATCGCTTCTCCGAAGGAGCCTTAGGGTATTCGTGTAATGACTTCTCTGATTGATGATGAACGGCTGCCATTGATGCAGGAGCTGGCGCTTGCGGATTTGCTAAGTTATCGTCTTCATGTGTAGGATGTACTGGGGTCGATTCACATTTTACGGCCTGGCGTCTGAGCGACCTAGTAATTGGCATGTTTGGGAGAAAAAAGTGATTAATAAATTTAAAAGAAATCAACACTCAACACACACGCCACGCCCAAAACGCACAAAAAAATATAATTTTATTCACTACACAAAAAACTTATTGAAAAGAACTCGTTTCTACGAGACGAAAACGAAAATAATTTACGTATTACGTACTAACACAACAGCAAATACTATTATTTATAATTATAATACCGCACTCGAGCACTATTATTTTATTTTGTTTCAATACGCAACGTAAAAATAATCACAAAATTATTCACACTTATATTTTCATAAACACACACTTTAATATTATATAAATATAGTTTCACAAAATATATAACGAACCGAACAATTATTTATTACTCACTAACATTCACTTTAAACGTAGGTAGGTTCACTATCACAAAAAAATAATGAATACCAGTATGAAACAAATAACTAATTCAACAAGTATTTTATTTAAATACTTAAAACGAATCGAACGAACAATAATTTAATAGCTATTTATTTCATAACTATTTAAGTAATTATTATCACCTCACTAACACTTAAACAGGTATATTTATTACGTACTTCGATGAAACGAAACAAATAACTAATTAACTATTTAAATAATAAAACGAAACGAACAATAATTTAAAATAGTTATTAGTTTTCACGAAATACGCAATTTAACTATAAAATAAATCACTGTGCATTCCGCAATAAAAGTATCTAACATATAAGAACCGAGAACAAAGGAAACAAAGGGCGTGCGCGTGATTCACTATAATATTCACTTGCACACAAAACTTCACGATTCAAATCACTTTTATACGATTACACACTTCACTAATTGTCTATAAATGTCCAAAGATCCGGCCGAAGACCAAAATGTTGATGACGAGGCGAAGAATTAAAAGACTATTTTCGAAAAAGTGTGCAGCTGCGGAAGCAGTGTCGAGCGGCGTGTAGTGTGGTCAGTGACCTCAGGCGAATGAACGAGACGATAGCACACCACACGCTCGCCCGGCCCCCGCCCCCCGCAGTTGCATCACACTATTTATTAACAAACTAAACAAAGAGCAATTTTATCGTGCACACCCTCCTTTTTTTTAATTATTTTAATTGTAATGTATTTCTGTATGTACAACGAAGTGTAACTAAATAAATTTGTAATAAATTAAACGAATTACCTTTTGATACAAAAGGTAACGAAATTATGTACATAAGTAATTTGAGGTCTTAAAATTGCTTACATTCATAATTTATCAATTTTAAAAGAATTGTAATTTTTTGTTTAACAATTTAGTAAATTTTAAAAATTTATTTTTTATTCTAGTGAATTTTAAAATTGGAAGTGTAATATTTTTATTATTTTTACTTATTAATTATTGGTGACGTTTATACTTACCATAATTGTCATGTATTTTTAGAAAATATTACTTGTAACATAATATACTGTAAGGGTCTGTTTCACAATGTATGGATAAAGTTCCAAATAGCTATGCGACACATAAATTATTTGGAAAATAAATTTTGCTATTTGTCACTTCATCGGACTCATAACTTATGATGGACTTTATGTGACGAAAAGCGCTATCTGACAGTCGTGATACGCAACAATAGTGTTTATCCTACCAATAAGTAATAAATAGCTAATTTGGAACTTGGAACATTGTGAAACAGACCCTAAATATAGTATGTATGTTGTGGTGACCTTCCATAAATAAATATATATTTTATTTTAAGGTTAGTTATGGTTTTTATTGTTCTTTTTTTGTATTAATAAGCTAGGTTAAATTATAAATTATATGTTAAGAAAATAATTTGTTATAGATAGAACTTTCTCCCAAACCGAGTAGTGGACCGACTGGAATAGGCTTTTAACTCTTTTAAAAATAGTTTGGATAGTTTCTCCAAATCTCATACGCGCGCTTTAGCTTATTAAGCTGCTATTGTGTTTTATATACATAATAATAATAGTATGTTTTATATATTAAGAAACCAGCGGCGCTACAACCCCTGGTATTGTCCTCAGATCAGTCTAATTCGAGGTAATTTTTACTTAATGTGGAACCAGCTGCTGAAGTATTTTAAGAAGTTTTAGTAATACTAATTCGACTTAGGGTCAAGAAAAGAGCGTACCGATTAATTAAAGGACGGCAACGCACTTGTGAGCTTACAATGTGAGTGTGACAGCGGCGGTGTCACTAGACATCAGGTGAGTCTGTCCTGCCTGTTATATTAAAAAGAACTTAATAGACAAGTAAGTGAACAGCCTTTTGTGCCTGACACCAGTCGTTGACTTCTTGGGTCTACGATTTTCTCCTTCAGCGTTCGAATGTTAAATAGGCATATAGAAAGAAAAGTCCATTACATAGCCGAGGTTCGAACCTATGACCTATGACAGGAGCTGTAAATATTTATGATAAATATCACATACGAAATTTTCTCGTGTTTTAAAATGTTTTCGCCTGTGGATATCTCAACAGCTAAATCGATGGCTTTGGATTATTCCCTAAAGAACAACATCTAGGATAAACAGAGCATCATTCTCAAATATCCGATTTCACGTTATGTTATCTGAACCTCCGTTTGAAGCCGGTTAAAGCCGATAATGTTAAGGCCAATTGGCTATCTTAAAACGCAATGTACGCCTAAGTGGATTCTCCGCATTCCGTAACTCTCATACTTAAGTATTACAATAAGGCGCAAGAGGCTTTACGAATATAAGCGCAACTTATGAAATGTCAAGATTCTGACCCAAGACCACATTTTGACATTATCGATTGATTAATTTTTGAAGTGAAACTTAGGCGCATGAGGGTAAAATTTTTACGGATGAAATGCAATAATGGTCTAAGATCCCGATATACAACGACCTTCACCGAGATGCTTATTTAATGAAACGTATTTTATACTTAATTTAATATGTCAATAAATATAATCCATATGGGTTGCCTAGCAAATTTCAGTCCAGAGTATTTTTAAAATTTTGTAAAGAGAATTTATGACATATTACTTATATCAGTATTTTATATTTTATGCAAAATAATTTATTGGAATCTCAAATGACGAATTGTAAATTAAAATGCCACGTGTTTTTTTTTATAATTTGTATTAATTTTAGACACTTTTAATATTTTAATGACAATTAAATTCGTTAAATTCCTAACATATCTTCCTTTCTCCCTCCCTCTAAGTCTCGGAAATCTAAAGTTTTAGATTTGTATGAACAAGAATTAAAAATCAGTTTGCCAAAGAAGTTTCACTTCTGACATGTGTACTTTGTACGCACGCACTTTTTTTTACAGAACTGGACACATGTTTGGCTACTCTCTGATGTTAGGAGAGATGTGGCCTGGAAGACACTTCTGTCCAGATACTTATTCCATCGCCGCTTAAATTAACTGTCTAGGGAAGAAGGAGTGGGCAAGGTGTTCCACTCCTTAGCTTGAACAAGAAACGATGATCCAAATTGTGCAGTGCGGAACCTGGGGATGTCAACAACGAAGAATTTGAACGCCAGCGTGTTTCTATATTAGCGTGGTTTGAAAGACATGATAGCTTTCGTTTTAATGAGATTTTAAATTAATTATATCTATTTTAAGTACTTTGCAATACTCATAGATTTAAAAAGTACCTTATAAATACTATTATTATTAGTACTGGTTCTTACAAAGTATGAATATTTTGTAACTGTATACAGAATGGCCAAAAAGTCGTGGATCAAACGCAACCAGGGGATAGATGAGGTCATCAGCTGCAAAAAATTGTTCTACGCGATGTCCTTAAGCTCAACCTCGGCAGAGTTATAACTTATTTTGCGTTTTTATAAGATGGAAATGAAAATAATTTCACACGTAAAACAAAAAAGAAATTCATTAGAAAAAACAAAATTAACTAACATATAATATAATATAATTAATAGTGTAAATGTCTCGTGATTATGTAATCCTATTTATTAATATAACTACCGTTCATAAGTTGAAATATAAATCCCATACAGTGCCTCTTCGTTAAAACGCAACATTGACGCGTAAAGCCCACTAAAGCAATTCTAAATGAAAAGATCAACAAAGCACACAAAACGCCCATCGTTTTTGCAATCACAGAATCTCCAAGAGATGTGGTGGTAAGTATATAATACGGCAGGTTTAGATATCTGTGCACACTGACCCAGCATCGAGCATGAGAGTGGTGAGTGAAGTTAATAAATATTTGATCAGAGATTAGACTTTCCAACTTGTATTTGAACAATGTTTAAGATTTAGTCAGATAAACGAACTGTACCGTGAGCAGAAATTGATTTTTAAACACTGGTTTAAGACTAATTTCTCATGAAAACAATTTTAACTACTTTTTAAATTGTTCTGTCAAATTGTGTCAACAGATAAGTACCTTAATTAAAGTACAAATTTAATAGAACTTACGTATTAGATGTTGACATAAAAGTGTCAATCATTTAATTGATAGTGAACATACTCAGAGTTATAGGTACATTAATAGCTAACGTAATCTATAATAATTTAAATAAGTTAATTTAGAAAATTGATTTAAAAAGTTAAACAATTAACATTTTTTTTAAATAATAAATACTAATTAATGTACAATTAGAGATAATGCATGAATCTAGGTACATTTTTCGTGACAAAAAAAAATATATATGTAGAATATTTTTTTTACTTTTTATTTACAGGTAATAATATTGTCAGTGGTCGCGGCCATAGTGGCTGAAGCACCATACCAGCTACCGCAGCCAGGGCCTCAGGCTCCAGTTTTTAATTATCCAGTACAGCAACCACAAAGGCCAAATATAATACTAAATTCACAGCAGTCAAGTGGTGGTTATCATTACCAACAACCACAACCTAGGCCAAACTATGTGCCACAACCAAGACCTCAACCTCAACGTCTACCTCAACCTGTGTACCCTCAGCCTCAACCCAATTATCCCCAACCCATAGCTCCGTTACCCCAACCCCTTCCACAGCCATCCTATGGAGTTCCCCAGCCGCAACCTACTTACCCACAACCACAGCCCAGCTATCCACAACCACAACCTAGCTATCCTCAACCACAGCCCAGCTATCCACAACCCCAACCTAGCTATCCTCAACCACAACCTAGCTATCCTCAACCACAGCCTAGCTACCCACAACCACAGCCTAGCTATCCCCAGCCACAGCCCCAACCAACTTACCCTCAGCCACAACCATCCTACAACTATCCTCAACCAGCACAGCCTCTCCCCCCAACCACAACCAATTCAACCATTCCCACAACCAATCCAACCTCTCCCACAACCAATTTTCCCTCAACCCCAACAATCAGGATACTCCTACCAGCAACCTGCCGCTCCTTTCATCCAACAATCCAGCCAAGCACTATCCAGCTACCAGGCAGATTCTAACCAATACAACAACGCCCAACTTTCACTCGGTCAGTACAATTCTCCTCAGCAACAGCAAACCCACAGAGATGCATTGGATGACCATGTCGTCAGTCGGGTACAGAATATAATCAAAGACAACGAACATTCCTCAGCGAAGGAACGTGGATACTTGTCTTTGGTGTCAGGTGTAAGCCTCGAGAACGCTCAGCCAAGTATAGAAATATCATCCTTCGTCCAGAACTCGCAGCAAGCTGTGAGCCAGAGCTCTGGTTCACAATCTGTGTCCACAGACTATGGATTACCGAACCAAGTCGACAATAGCGTTGCATTCATACCACAGAACAAACCAGCGATTTCCTACGGAGTGCCAAATTAGATTAAAATGAAAGACTTAATAAAGTATTATTTTTTAATTGACTTTTTTTTTATTGTAATCTGTCTGGGCATGTTATCCTCATGAACAATGGGTATTGGGCGGCGGGCTGCAATCAAAGAATAATTATTCGTTTTTTAACAGTTTCTATTTGAATACCAAATATTACTACGCATTACTCAACAGTAGTAAATTAACGACATTTTATGTAATATTTGAGGTTGTTTTCCCTTGGCATAGAAACGTGGAATATAACCTTACACAGTTATTAGATAATAATTAAAATTCCCTAAAATGGTGTGAGGCCTGAGGGACACATAAGAGCAGTGTTTCCCAACGTAAGGCCCACCCCCCGCAGGGGGCAGTTTGTTTGTTACTCCTTAACTTTTCCTCGGGTTATCGATTTTTTTTAAATTATTATTTGTAATTTAAGTTATTCATTCTTAAATTTACTTAGTGTGTTTAGTTAACAATTTCCAAGTAAGTTCTTCCTAAAACTTATCATTTAAGTTTCTTATATTTTCTAATATTAAAACGTATGTATGTTAAAATTATTATGTAAAATATTTATGTTAAGAATATGACTGGTACTGGTCAGTTTAAACACAAGCGATAATACCTAGCAATTTTTTTTAAATTCAGTTATTTTCATTATATACCTATATTTGCAAAACATATTACATCAAAGGAATGTAGAAAGTTTATATATGCTTTTTATTATTACGGGCCTAAGATTCGCAGGGGTTTTTTTTTAAATATTTTGAAATTGAATATAATATGATACTCGGGGATAATTGTCATTTTGATAATGACATTAAAAATCTTTAAACAATATTAGTCTTTGTGTTTTGGTTTGTCTCAAATTCAAAATAACTTTATTCATATAGGTAACCAAGTACACTTATGAACGTCCGCAGAAAAGATGTTAAAATGATAAGATGTTCTTAAATTTTCATTTACTACCAGTTCGCAAGTCAAGGGTGTGAGCGGGTGAGAAGAACTGGCCACTTTTTTAATCGCAAAGTTTTAAGTCATCCAATAGTTTGAAAAATAAATCGATCCTCGAAGGATTGGGATCATTTAAATATTAGCTAAAACTACAGACTAAATAACTGCTTTTAGGTGACAACAGAAACCTACTCGGAACTACAAGACGCAGAAACAAATAGTATCGCACGGTTTTTTTGATATTTTGGAATTTGATGGTTACTCAGGGATAATACAGCATAATGTAATTATGTTAAAGAATTTTAAATCAGTCCAGTAGTTTATTCGTTTAAAACAAAATCTTGCTCAATATGTTTCTAAAGAAACTCAAAAAAAAATAACGCCTAGTCAAATATCGTTAATTTAAGTTGAATTATTTGTTGTCTATGGCCTCTCATGCTTCTGGCCTATTAAAAACGTTATAGGTTGGAAGTAACCAATTCCTTTAGTGTTTTTAAAATCAGTTGTAATATATTTCTTAAGTCTTTATACTTAATCCGTTATTTTAATTTAGTAAATTCTAAAATGTGTTGTTAATAGCCGCGTCTACACCGAACGATCCAAAATGGATCGGCGATCCCGCGATCTGCGATCTAAGATCGCGATGCGTGGAGCGTGGATCGTACTAGGCTGATCCAACAGCAATCTTTTGCGATCCTGACTGGCTGATCCAACACGCTCCAGCGGATCCATACTGAATCAGTGGAACTTTGTCTGCAGATTAATTTGACCTTTGTTCATCACAAATAGTAGGCAAACTAGTCGGTAGTTTGCCTATTATTTGTGTAATATCATTAGGATCCCATAAACATTTATTCTCCCTATAAAGGGATATTAAAAGAGTACATAGTGAATTATCCATAACGTTGGATCACGCGATTCAAATCTCACACCGCGTGGCAAGTGACTGAGGCCCCTTTGAGCGTGAACAAAAAACCGACAACAAATGGATCGCACGCGGTGTGGACGCGGCTAATTTTTAACAGCATACGCAACGCGTAACACTAGCTATTACATGAATGTGTGGGTAAATGAATGGATGTGTGAGTGTAATGTATGTGTCACCGTAAAATTGCACACATATGCATTACATCGGAATGTCTGTTTAGTTTCTTAGATCTAAACTAGACCCAAAAATAAAACTCTAATTCTGTTTGGTTCAATGATGCGACCGCTTTATTACATTTACCTGCCTTTAGTTATGCAATATAAGTAAGTAAGTTACATATGTATATATTTGTTAATAATAAATCGGTCAAATGAAATGTTAACAATCTTACACTTGGTAGTAATAATTATTGTGCCCTTTAGTTTTGGTAGTAATAATTATTGTGCCCTTTAGTTTTTCATTTATAAATTGTGATATAGTCCATTGCAATGTTACAATTTGAGTTGCCAAACTGAACATTTTCATAGAGGACGTAATTTATTTATGGTACATGTAGGGGGGTCAATACAAGCTTAAACCCAATTTTGTGGGGTTGGAAAAACAAAAAAAAACGAAAATTTATTTAAAATAAACGAGAGATCATCAAATGTTCAGCCCATGTAACATTCCAATGGACTAATATAAATTTCTCGTTTCCGATAATGTCCAATAGGTTAACTTCACTTATTTCTTTATAGGTAACAGAAGTGTCCATAAGTTTTAAGAACCCATAAATAAGTCACAGTTTTTTGTTAGTCCAGCGTCGCAACCCCCCTACCACCACTACTTGGCTTCAAACAAAGTGTTTCATTCATTTGAACATCCCTCCAACAACCGCCACCGAACTTAACTCGACTTTTATTAACAAATTAAAATGGGATCATACCAATTGTATAGGATTATCACATGTCTGAGTTCCATATGTGAATGAAGATACATTTTCCGACATAAACGGCTGTATTGGTTTTGGAGACGCTTTTCCAACTTCACTCTGACCATCATTTTTCAGTTTCTATAATGTTAGAAAACAGATATACTTTAGAGAGATCTCTGGTTGGAATTATTCCAATCTTTAACATAAATACACTGGCATCGCGATATGAAACTGTTTTAAGTATTTAACAACAATCCATCAATACATCCTAATCTAACTCCGCACGGACTCGCCTGTCTACCATTTGCCGACAACGAATTTTAAAAAAAAAAACGAAATATGTTTATTATGGAACATAAGATACATGTATCACTTATTCCACGTCATTAAATTTGAATTTGTAGGCATCCCTACTCATCGGCAAAGAAGACAGAGGGTGTAGGCCGAGAGAAAAAGCCGGGGTAAAAAACTCTCGGTACTCTTTTAAAATAGCAAATCATTACTCGATATATTATATACTATATTTCGGCCATACTAGTACAATGTGTAGCGGCGATAAGAACTTGCAAAAACTGATCGTGGTTGGTAACCCAGAAGGCAAAAGATCACGAGGTTTACCAACCAGATGGACTGATCAAGTGATAGACTCATCCTCACTTCATAGTCCTCAAAACTATACACTGTTAGAAGAGGCACTGGACAGAAGCCGGTGGAAATAGATTGTTCGCTCCAGATGTTTCCTTGCTGACGAATGACGATGACCTACCGACTGAAGAGAGAGAGAGAGGGAGTCTCAGATTGCATCCATTTATTATTTTTATTTTATTTTATAAACCAGTAGGTAATTAGCCTTCTGTGTCACACATGTCATAGTTTGTTTGGGTTTGACACAAGCGGGTTTCCTAACGATGTTTTCCTGCAAGTACTGATTCTGCATAAAGAAAGTAATTTCTATTGGTGCAGATACGTGATTCGAAAGGGGTACGACCACAGGGATTAGGGGTCTACGTACAACATCCATATAGTTTCATCTGCAACAGTAGTGTATGTTTGAGAATGTGTCTGGCACCAGTTATAACAAACCAATTCAGACAATATTCCGGCCCGGAGGACCAATGTTGGTTTACATAAATATACATAAACTTGACTACATACAGGAAACTCCAATCAGAGTAGATCATAATAAATACCATTGGATCCGCCTTTTTAAGTTTTGACAATTTGCTTTGACTTATGACTTTAGATCTGATTGTGGGACATTGACAGCTGACGTCAAATGTGACACTTTCGTTTATGCATTGGCAGGAAATATTCTTCTTCGAATGGTCACTTCTCGCTTTTGAACTTTTAGGGGTATTTTGTAATTCCTTGCCGTGCTGCAAACAAAAATGAACTGACCTTTAACTTTTATATAAGGCCTAATTTAACAGCCAATCTGCTTATTTTTTTATTCAAGACCGGATTTAAAGTCTTATTGGATTAAAGTATGTGTATGAAAAAGAGTACAGGGTGTGACTGTTAGTTGAGAAACATTTTATTTAAAAAAATAAAATATGTTTATTAAGGAATATAAGATCTAATAATATCACTTACGTTATTAAATTTGAATCGGTAGACATCCCTACTCATCGGCAAAGAAGACAGAGGGCCGAGAGAAAAAGCCGGCGAAAAAAACTGTCGGTACTTTTTTAAAATAGCAAATCATCACACAAAATGATTATGGCAAACAACACTTATTTTAAATAATATCGAAAATTAATTGGAAGTAGCCTGTCTAGCACTATTTCCAGGCCCTTTTATCAACTAGATAATCTTTAACTTTATAGTAAGCCTTATATACAGATAGCGTTTAACGCTTTGTCTAGGTCACAGTTGTGGTAGCTCTTAAGAACGTGGCCCCGCTAGAATGCGAGAGCGACCCTGGAGCTCCTCCAATGCAGCCTTGTGGGACATTCCGGGGTGCTCTAAGTGGGTCGTCTATACTCTAAATAGCAGAGTCTCCTGTGAGTCAATCCCCATATACTCGTTCTACTTTCGGAGGCAAATGCAACCTCGGATATAAAAAATCGTAATAAAAAACAAAACAATTGTGTGGACAAATATAGTATATTTATTTATTTCTTAATCCTACAGCTAACATAAATTATATAACAAAAAACAATACTAAAGATAAATCCAAAGATGGAATACATATACATGAGTAACACTGAAAATTTTAAGAACTGGCCAGTTGGAAACATTGCTAATGAAAACTTTTTTGAATTTCAATTTTAGAACTCTATGGTAACCTAATGTAGTATATTGCATTCATTTGTTTTTGTGAATTGGCGGCAAATCTAAAACTCTTGTTACACGTGAAAATGAACCTAACGCGAGAAAATTTTCGTTTAATGATTTATTACGACTTTCGTTGTGGGCTTACTCAACAACAAAGCTATGATAGGCTGCGATTAGCATTTCTTAATGAAGCCCCATCTCGTGCCACTATTTACAATTAGTTTAACGAGTTTAAGCGTGGTCATAGCAATCTCAATGATGATCCGCGTGAGGGACGTCCAATAAACAACAAAAACCAATTAAAATAAAGATATAGTCAGAGATGGAATACATATATACAAAAAGGTTCAAACATTTACAAAAGTAAGCAACCAATAATAAATATTAAATACATTTACCTAAGTAATACCTACTTCAGGTGTCGTGTGATGGTGTGAAAGTGAGGGTATGTACGTGAGGTGTGCTATTGTTCGACTCAAGACGAGTTACAATCATACGAAAAATATCATATTTACGATTTAACAACTAATCATTTTAATTTATTTCAGTATTCCCACAACTAGTTACAATAAGTACAGAATTATATAAAATACAAAAACAGGAACATTTTAAAACACATTTAACAGATAATAAAAATACACATAAATAAGTTTACTATAATATTTAATCATTGACTTGTTTAAGCTATGGTGGAATATGCTTAAAAGAAGTATTAAGAATCCATAGCGCTAAATCACCTACAGCATCATGTGCACACCCCACACACTCACGTACATACTCTCACACCATCACACAACACCTGAATTGGGTATTACTTAGATAAATGTATTGAATATTTTTTCCTTTCGTAAATGTTTGAATCTTTTTGTTGCTGATGTTATCTTCAGTAGTCGCTGTTAAAGGACGTCCCTCACGCGGATCATCATTGAGATTGCTATGTCCACGCTTAAACTCGTTAAACCAATTGTAAATAGTGGCACGAGATGGGGCTTCATTAAGAAATGCTAATCGCAGCCTATCATATATACGCGCATAATAAACGCGAACTACATATATGTATTGCATACATACCATGTTTACAGACTTTCTCCTATATATTTTCTCACTACACCCAAATGATCATTATATCATAGCTGGCGATTTCAATCTACCCCACATAGGCTGGTCTCCAACCTTTGATCCCACCTTCCTTAGACGTGGTACTATAAACCTACAAAATGCGGGTGCAAGGTTTGTTGAATCATGCAGTAGTCTCGGCTTCAGTCAGTACAATTTGCATAAAAACTCCTCTGGAAATATACTAGACCTAATATTTAGTGACACATACATCGAGGTGTCTAAATCTTGCAGTTATCTCGTTAAAGAAGATCCAAGCCATCCATGTCTGGAACTGAAAGTGTCGGAATTGATGACGCCTAGTAAGTAGTTAAATTAAAAAAGGAGATAAGATATAACTTCAAGAAGGCTAACTACGATAAATTAAATGAATATCTTAACGGTATAGACTGGAATGACTCTCTAAGAGGCGACACCATTGACATAATTGTGCAGAAATTTTATTCAATCCTCCACCGTGGAATTGATCAGTATGTGCCTAAGACTACCTTTTATGCTCATAACAAATACCCAGTCTGGTATACTAAGGCGCTCATACACATAATACGCGACAAACGAACCGCTCACTCTCGATGGAAAGCAAGAGGAAATGAGTTTTCCTTACTTCGTTCAAGACAGAAGGCAGTCCAAAAAAAATGTTTTAAGTTATATATGAAAAAAATACAAACATCGTTAAAGAAAGATCCAAAGAAAATCTGGTCATATCTAAAAACCTTACGAATTAATAACACTGGCTATCCAAATAGATTACAATTAGGAAGCAATATATATAATAACGAATCGGAAGCATGCACGGGATTCAGTACTTTCTTTGAGAGCGTATTTCAACAAGCAGCACCTTCATACCATGAAATTCTGCAGACTAATACGGAAGTAACCGACAACATTATATGTAAACTAAATATAACCAAATTTGATATATTAAAGATACCAAATTCATTAAATGCGGAAAAAGGAGCTGGGTATGACGGTATACCACCTATTTTTATCAAAAAATGTGCACAAGCTATTACAGAACCACTGTACATAATACAGAACTTATCCGTGAACACATTTGGCATTTATCCTGATGTATGGAAGATAGCTAAAATAATACCTATTCATAAGAGTGGCTCGCGGTTGAGTATTGAAAATTATCGACCAATATCGATACTTAATACTTTCAGTAAAGTCTTTGAAAAGATAATTTATAAAGCCATCCACAATATAATAAGTAATTCACTTCCCGATGAACAGCATGGTTTTATCAATAAACGTTCTACGATAACCAACTTAACCGTGTTTACGAACTATGTACTGCAAAGTATGGATGGTGGTGCACAGGTTGATGTAATTTACACAGACTTTGAGAAGGCTTTCGACAGAGTGGATCACACCATCCTATTACATAAGCTCCAACTTCTAGGGATACGTGGTGACCTTCATCGCTGGTTTTGTTCATATATAACAAATCGTAGACAGGCGGTTGCGGTTGGCAGTGCTAGAAGTGACTTTGTTCGTATAAGTTCTGGAGTTCCTCAAGGATCTATATTGGGTCCCCTGTTATACAATGCATATCTTTATGACATAAATAGTACCATTAAAGATTCAAATTACCTTATGTTCGCTGATGATAAAAAGATATATTTAAAAATAAACAAAGAAGGAGACTGTCACAAAATTCAGGCCGACCTAAATAACCTTTCCAATTATTATAGACAAAATCGAATATCGGTTAATACTTCCAAATGTGTCAAAATAACATTCACCAGAAAAAAAAACAAAATTAACTTTAGCTATCATATTAATAACAAATCTGTAAAAGTAGATTGTGTTCGTGACTTAGGTATATGGTTAGACTATAAAATGACGTATAATAACCATATTGACACAATAGTTGACAAGGCCTATAAGCAGCTTGGTTTTGTAAGACGTGTTAGTGAACATTTTCATGATGCCGACTGTATGAAAGTACTATACTATACATACGTAAGAAGTATTCTCGAATATGGTTGCTCGGTTTGGTCACCTAGTTACACTGTACACAAAGAAAAAATTGAAAAGACTTCATAAAATTTATCTCCTATAAGACCTACAATAAGTTTAATACATATAATGACGCGTGTGAACATTTTAAAATTAATACTTTAGACTCTCGACGAAAACAATATGATTTATTGCTACTACATGACATCATCTCAAATAAAATTAATTGTAGCTCCCTTCTAGAAAAATTGCCCTTCCTTGTTCCTGCCTACCAGACTCGTAATCGTGCTTTGTTCCATGTTCCTCACATTAACACTAACTATGCAAGGAACTCAGTTTTGTATCGCGCAGCCCGGACATACAACGACCAATATTTAAGCCTTGACCTGTTTAAGCTGTCGCGGAATATGATTAAAAGAAGTATTAAGAATATCCATAGCGCAAAATCACCTGCATCATGAGCATACCCCACATACACACCTTCACGTACTTACTCTCACTATTACACCATCATACAACACAACCAAATTAGGTACCACTTAGATAAACGTATTGAATAGTTTTTATTTGTTTGTTTCCTTTTATAAATTCTTGAACCATTTTGTAGTTAAATGTATTATTATGTATTCCATATTTGGCTATATTTTTAATGTAACTGTTTGTTATTGTATATAATTTATGTTAGCTGTAGGTTTAAAAAATAAATAAATAAATAGCTTTGTTGTTGAGTAAGCCCACAACGAAAGTCATAATAAATCATTGACCGAAAATTTTCTCGCGTTAGGTTCATTTTCAAGTGTGACAAGAGTTTTAGATTTGGCGCCAATTCACAAAAACAAATGAATGCAATATACTAATTAGGTTAGCATAGAGTTCTAAAATTGAAATTTAAAAAAGTTTTTATTAGCAATGTTTCCAACTGGCCAGTTCTAAACATTTTCAGTGTTACCCATGTATATGTATTCCATCTTTGGCTTTATCTTTAGTATTGTTTTTCGTTATATAATTTATGTTAGCTTACGGATTACGAAATAAATAAACGTTTTTGTCTCCATCCAGTTTGTGGATTACAAATATATTAGCTTTGTTTTTAACTAGGAACATTATTTGAAACGAGTAATAATGTACTAAACGACACAATATCTTTGACAGTCAAGTCGGTATTCAAAAAGAAGCTCACACTGGGATCCACAATGTTAGCAATGATTTTCTTCACCTCATCTCTATCATCAATTGCATCGTAAGGTATTTGATACACTTCTCTTTCAAGTAGAACGCTGGTGAGACTCTGGGATTTACGTTTTGCTTTCTGTGTTAGTGGACTGTATGTACAACACGAATAAACTCTGAAATAGAAACAAATAAATATTTATTTTAAGATTTTTCATTAGGGAAGTTACATGTTAAATTATTTTTTACGACCTCAAAAGTTAGTTTTTTAGGCAGTCTTAGCTGTATCTAATAATATTTAGGTATCTAAATTAAAAATAGCAGTGTTGGCCTAGTTGCTTCAAAGTGAGACTCTCACCTCTGGACTTTCTTTCTATGTGCGCATTTAACATTCGCTCGAATGGTGAAGGAAAAATCGTAAAGAAACCGGCTTGCCTTAGACCCAAAAAATCGACGGCGTGTGTCAGAGCCTGATCTCCTAATTGCCTATTTATTAGATTGACAAATGATCATGAAACAGATACAGAAATCTGAGGCCCAGATTTTTTTGTGTTCAAAAATGTGCAGCTTTCTAGTGTCGAAATATTGTAATTTCTCACAAAGTCATATCAATATTTATTTATTTACACAAGAATCATAAAATTCAGTTACAAATTCAAAGGCTGAAAATGTTAAAAAGTAAATAATACCCCACCTGTGGCAGGACTCCGAAGCTGTTCGAGACACCGTATGTTTTGGATGCAGCAAGATTTCAAAGCTTTTATTGGATCTGAAATCAAAAATTATCTTAATATATTGCTTCCCTGTTCCCTTACTCCTGTAACCTTCAATAGCGACAGCTATACCGACTTTTTGTATACAAGTTATTTATGTTAGTTGCCACTGGGGCTCTGAAAAGAACCAACTATAAACTATTTTAATTAAAATAAAACTTATATTTAACTAAGTGTGGCTTCTTTGCTGCCCCCGTTTGCTTTCCTACAAGTCGCTCTTTTCTTGAAGGACCCTAAGTCGAATTGGTTCGGAAAAACTTCAGTGGGTCCGAATTTGAGAGCTAATTTAAAACAATTCTATTGGTGTGAAACGTGGAAGGTCACGACATCTCGCACCGTCTCCAAGTCTTCCTCAACCGCTGTCTTCGCCGTATGCTGAGTATCTACTATGAAGGAAGGATGGTAGATCTCTAACAAGCAACTTTGGGAGTGCTGCCGAGAAACACCGATTAGCCAGCACATGCGACGCAAGTGGAAATGGATAGGTCGTATACTTCGAACAGATTCCAATGATGTCGTTGATTGGAACCAGCAAGGAAAGCCGAAGCGTGGCCGTCCAAAGCAGACCTAGTGACGTATAATTGCAGAGGAGATAAAGAGAGCCGGAAAGACTTAGAGGTGAAATACGAGGCTCAAGACCAAACGCGAAGGAGACTCACTGTGGACGCCCTTTGCCCCATCTACGGTATATTGGACATTCAGCCAAATATTGTATGTCGATATTTTCAATGGTAAAATTAGGAATTGTTTGTTGACGAATTTATCGTAAAGTTACCAATAGTCCAATGGACACATGCTCTTATATACTTTTGCTACTTGATAATAGGTTCATTTCTCGTAGAATTAATTCATGTTGGGATTTATTTAACAAAAACAAATATAGGTACCTTAAAGCATTTCCTTTGCTATTCGTGAGCTTTCTATGCCTTTTCCTAGGACTGTAAAAAGATTTAAATTTTATTATAAAATAAATAAATCAGTGTATTATATTGTTTTAATACTTTTATACGAGTTTAGTATGAGGGCACGTTAATCTTGAATGTTAAACAGTGGTAAGTGGTAAAAGTACACAAGAACAGAGTGACATCTCTTTAATAGTGTTATAGTGTTATTGGACACTTTCTTATGTTATTATTTAGTAAATTAAGTTAGTATTAAATTACTTATTAGTCTTAAGTTAGGCTAGATCCGTAATTTTAAATTGTGTCAGTGTGCAGAGACAATTTATAAAAAAGTTGTTTTTTACCCAAATTATTATTAGAATTTAAAAAATTAAACTATTTAGTATAACCTTTTGGGTCTCTTGAATTTTTTCGCTCCGCAAGAGTCGCAGTGAAAGCTGAAATTATTACAATTTACAAACTTAAAATAAAGTTTTATTTTACGAGAGAACGTTTTAACTTAAACTACTCTAAATAATTAGTAGTAAATGCAACTGTTCATTGAGGGTTAAATTACATAAAAAGTACAAAAATCTGAATGTTGTTGAAACCGGAGGCACTACAACCTTTTCAGGTCTGGGCCTCAGATTTCTGTATCTCTCATGATCATTTGTCAATCTAATAGACAAGTAGGTGATCAGCCTCCTGTGCCTTACACTCGGTCGACTTTTTAGGTCTAAGGCCAGCCGGTTTCCTCACGATATTTTCCTTCACCGTTCGAGCGAATGTTAAATGTTAATAAACAGTCCATTGGTGGATGAGTCCGGGAAATGGGAATTGAATGCGAAATAGAATGTAAAAATACTTGTTAGATTTAGTTTCAATTTCCACCGTCGATGTCTTCTTCAACGTGTACTTTGAGTGTCCACCTCCATCATGGATAAATTCTTGATATTTCTGATCTAACCACATCGCAAAACCCTTTATTTCTGGTGCATTTGTGCTCATCGAGTCTGTCTTTTTCGGACAGCGTTCCTGTAATTTGTCAAATATATCAGTTCCTAGTTTGTATACCTACATAGTCAAAATCTGTTATAACGACATCAAAGGGACTACTCATATTTGGTCGTAAAAACCGATAGTCGTTACAGCCGATGACGTTGTTATTAAGTACCTAATACTTACAATAGAATTCAGCCGGGACCCTTGATTTTGGTCAATATATATAACCGGTATGTTGTTCTAAACGACGTCGTCGTAAACGGTTTTGACTGTATATATTATATTATATACGTAAGATACTATAGACGTAGGCATCATCATATAGGTATTTCTATTTTAGTTATTTTAGTCATTTATCAGGCTTTATAGATTAGTGACCCCGTGGCTAAAGACGGCGCCTCTCAACAATGAGATCGTTCGAATCACGGCTGTGAACCAATACTCTTTCTATGAACACAATTTGTAAGAAGCCCTTACTTACTTACTCGATGGACTTGACTGAGAAAATACTATCACGAAACAGAGATCTGACGCCAAGAATAGTAGAAGTATAAGCAACAATTGTTTTATGTTTTTATTGCCTTAAGATTGACCCGCGCAGGTGCGCGAGTGTTGGCCATCGCGTCGCGCGCGACCTCCGGCCTTATTATTATTATACAATATAGACCTGGAATGCGCGTGCGTTGCGTGACTGATGCTCGCGCTAGCCTTAGCGGGTGACAGTTTCTATTGTGATTGCTTGCCGTCCACTCTTTTGTTCTCGGTGCTACCCCATTTATTGTTAGAACTATATTTAGTTATTCAATTTAGGAATGTCAAAATGCAAATCTCATCTAAAGATTGCTTAATTACAAGGTAGTTTACCTCATTGTTAAAAATAGTTTGTTATTGTTAAAACCTTTCGAAACATTATTACTTTAGTTTTATACATTTTATAAGTTTTTAAAAAAGCAAAATAGCTGTAAAAACGTGTCTAGTTGTAAGTTTGTTACATTCCAGGAAATAATGTACACTGGATATGTAGCACTATAAATTTTTGTGAAACAAAATAAAGAATATTTGAAATTAAAATTGAATGTACCAGAATACGCCATTATCTTCGGGACCTTTGCGTATTGGGTATCTTATGAGCGTTCTGGTATCTTGGGTATACAGCTTTGTTAGATAATTCAAATGGTAAATAATACGTACAACTTCTTCAAATAAAGCACGTGAAAACTTTAAGGTAATTCGCGTTAATATTAATTTATTATAGCGTTAACATTAATATCCATTTACCTGTGTATACCACCGGAAAGCTTTGACAAAGCAATTTGGGTTACGCTTTTTCTCTCTACTTTTAGGTTTTTCACGGTACGGCTGAAAAATAATTGTATTGTAAACTCAAAACGTTCATATGTAATACATATGTTGCAGCTAACTAGCTTAATTAGCCTTTAAATCAACAGCCTAACCTCTTATCTAAACAGCGCCGTTTAACTGAACTATATTCAGCAGTAGTTTTTGTTACAACATTTAATAAACTGGCTGGCTAATGCTTAGGCCTTTCGTACGATCATGTCACAAATATCTAAAATAAGAAATTCTTTATAATATCTTTAAACTGTAACTTATTAGTGTTTATACGCTTTTAGGTGGCAGAAATTGAAATTAAATTGAAATGAATAGGAACAGCAAGTAATGTAACTTCATCGACTCCGGTCATTTGCCTAGCTATTTGATTAAATGGCTGAATATCAGAGCGCTAGTTGCAGTTTAGTACAGGGTCTAGGCTATTGATTGAACGGCTTATTAAGCTAGGTGGCTGCAACATATATATTTTGCCAAAGATGTCTTTTGAAGTCGAATTTTTTTTTTGTAGTTACTTCTTTATTAAGAGATTTTAGTAAAAACAATTTGAAATTAAGATGACTTTACAGAGCAGTAGAATAAAATGCTCTAAATGTACACATACAAATAAATGATGTGCATAAAAATCAACACACAAAATAAACAATTTTTTATTTCTAATTTTTCTGTTGGCTGTATTTTATTCAATTATTACTATATGAGAGACTATTTATAATAAGCATAATGGATATTTCTATAAATTGATTAACACAGAAAATAATTCAATTATATTAATAATATGTAAAAGTACACGCATCATCGACCTCAAGAAGAGCAGTGTTGGCCTAGTGGCTTCAGCGTGTGACTCTCATCTCTGAGGTTATAGGTTCGACACCCAGCTGTGCACCAATAGAATTATTTCTATGTGCGTATTTAACATTAGCTAGAACGTTAAATGCATGAAGGAAAACAGCGTGAGGAAACCGTTCTTAGACCCAAAAAGTCGACAGCTAGTGTCAGCATAGAAGACTGATTACCTACTTACCTGTTAGGCTAAATTATAAATGGGGACGTGAGAGCCTTTTCTCTTGACAGTCTCCAGCTGCACGCTGTACAGGTTTTAGTCAACCTTCCAAAAAAATTAAAGAAATATTCTCACCACATTTGTATAATATACCAATGGTTGCATCGGCCATGGAGTTATATTATTATAGTCAAAACATTCCGAATGTTCATCACTTGACGATGAAGACATAATGTACAAAATTTAGACTATAAATTAAAAATGTTTATTCTCACGTAAGATTTATAGATGTCAAAAATGAACAAGTACAAACGAGAACGTCTATAATCTATTGTCATTGAAGGAGTTTCTAATACAAATTTCTGTAATTCAGAATAGGGATTTTATTAATTACGCAAGTAGGTAAACAGTCTTCTGTGCCTAATACACACCGTCAACTTTTCGTGTCTGTCAAGTAAGCAGAGCACTTACCAATACAGTTCTTAGTTGTTTTTAGAAGGGATTCTGGCAGAAAATGTTTTGTTTAAGAAAGCAAAATGCTTATAATTATAGCATCCATATCACAGCAGAGCAATTCTTCTAGATTTCTAAAAATAAGGTCTCAATAAAACAAATACAAATAAAAAAGTCCTCTATTATTTTAATAAAAAAAGAAGAGTAAGAAAAAACAAAATTATGATAATTTTTCTTACATTTTACTGAATAGAAAATAACTACGTTGCATAGGCATAGGAACTCCCCCGTTTCTATTAAATCATTCTACATATCTAGGCAAAACGCGTGAAGCCTGGTCCAGAACTCTTCGCTTTCTTTCAGCAGAGTATACCTGTTTGATGAAAGTTGGCAATATTTTCACTTATTTTTGAAATATTAAGGTCTTCGTCTTCTTGTCTTGTCTTGGTCGGTCTCCTTTAGGTCTAGATATGAAAATCTACGTTTTCTATTAGATCTATTAAATCTTATACCGGTCCGTTTACAGATTTTTAAGTTCTAACTAAAGATAGTCGCTATTTTAAATATTTAATAAAAAGCATTATACAAAAATATAGGAAATTAATTACATTAATGTATAAAATGCTTCAATTGTTTAAAAAAAGAGCATATTCCCCCCCTTAAAGGCCTGCAACGCACTAACTAAAATAGGTATCCATCGGCTGCGATGGCTGTGCGTCCCTTAGACTCGTTTTTTAAATTGTAATACGGCCCATCCTATTAAAATTTTGTATGTTTCGGCGCGCTACACTAATAGCTATTTTACGCCGCTAGTTCAACGGCGCCGTTCAGTTATAATGCTAGCCTGTTAGTTGAACGGCTAATTAAGCTAGTTGGCTGCGACAGCTACACCCCAAAAACCTGTGCTGGCGCTAGGTAATGCTCAGCTTAAACAGAGTTTTCACCATTGGATTTAATTAAAAAGAATATTTGTTTTATTTTTAACTTTTGTACTTCTATTTAATGGAATATTTTTTCAAATCTATATCTACTCTAATAGTGTTTAAAATTAACTGATAGAAGTATAATTACAAATCTCAAAAAACATTTGATGGAACGCATCGTGTCTTAATGGCAGAAATTTTATAATATTTACCATTAAATCTGCATTTTAATGACGTGACCTTAATCAAAACATCACAACATTTAAATTTATGAATGGGAAATGGATTATAAATTATCGATTTTCATAATTTTAAAAGTTTTAATTACGCAAGCTTTATTACGTAAATTACGGATTTTGATTTCTATATAGAATTTTTATATCATGTTAAAACGAAATAATTGGAACGCCAGCCAATAAATTGATATGGATTTTTTTATGTGCCCAACACTCGCTGAAAGAAAACATTGTGAGAATCTACTTGCCCATTAGAAGATCACGAATCAGATACAGTAATCTGAGACCCAGACCTTAAAGGTTTTAGTGCCACTGGTTTTTTGGGTAGCCAGGTTTTAAAGTTCTTCGTCGAAGCTTTGTGTGTGCTTTGTATTCACTATGAGTGATAACAATAATAGGAATCGTGTCATCGAAATCTAATCGCACTAAAAAAGCCTTTTATCTTCTACTAAAATGAACAACATGATTATCTTTCTTCTTTTACTGCCTCTCCATTACTGGAGGATGGCCTCTTGAAGCGTGTCTTGTCCTGTGCCAGATGCAGCAACGTTACGAAGCCATGATTTCTTCCTTCTACCAACACGCCTTTTACCCTGAATTATACCCATTATAATTAATAGAAGTAAGTGGTAGCGGACATGGCGAAACACATGTTCTGCATAAGTTTTTTCGACATTCCAACTCGTTTAAGAACCTTTTCGCTAGAGACCTTCTGGATCTAGCTTATTCAAAGCATGGAAAACCACCAGATCTCAAATGCTTCTAAGCGCCGGCGGGTATCTTCTTTAATCGTCCAAGCTTAACAATTGGACATATGTATATACAACCAGATAAATATAAACATTTTGTTACTTATAAAAAAATAATAAAATAAATCAGTGGAGCTACAACCTCTTTAGGTCTTGGCCTCAGATTTCTGAATTTGTTTCATGATCATTTTTAAATTTAATAGGCAAGTAGGTGATCAGCCTCCAGTGCCTGACACAAGCCGTCGACTTTTTGGGTCTAAGACATGTCGGTTTCCTCACGATGTTTTCCTTCGCCATTCGAGCAAATATTAAATTCGCATCTAGAAAGAAAGTCCATCGGTGCACTGCCGGGGATCGAACCTACGACCTCAGCTATGAGAGTCGCACGCTGACGCCACTAGGCCAACACTGCTCTCGTTACTAATAAGATATATTAAATAAGTTAGAATTTAAGTAGGAATTCCCTTCACGGGAATGCCATTTCTCTTTAAAGCAAGCTTGGAGTATGGGCCAGCAGTTTTGGAAATCCTCCCATCGCATTTGGGGTCGCCCCGCCCTTTGTCTATTCCATAATGTCACTCGTTTTGTCCAAATCACGTACTCAATATTATTAAGTCACAGAAATTTGGTTATAAAGAGCCTGCTACAGTTTTATTGCTATGAAATCAATCGTGGCCGCATAGATTTTTGACTATCAAAATGGACTTACATTATGTAATATTCTGGTATATGATTGCACATATATCAGCTTATAAGAATCACCGTTATACTATTGCGACATGCGGCGAAGATGACCGAAAACGTGAGTTCTTTTAATTTAAACATTAATTTTTTTGCCTAAAAGCAGGTAGAAACACCAATTTCATAATAATAATGTAACCAATTTATCTGGGATGTGAACTCTGGACTTCGTAATTTTCCTTCGAACGTCTAGCCTTGCTTTGAAAGGTGTAGTCATTTGAAAGAATCTTTATCGCTAAATTTCGTCAAGATTTTTGGATTGATATATTAAAAAATTTGAATTGGATATTTTTGTTTTATTGATGTATCTTAGACATAGATAATGTACCTACCTACCTGTTGTTGTACCTACAGTTAAAAGAGCTAAAATAGCTAAAATGTCTAGCTTTTTTTGGCCGTCCCTGCTCTATCTCATCTGACACTTAAACACTTGTGTATGTATATTGTTCAATTTGTGTTCTTGAGCCTTGTTTTTTTAACAATACACGCAAACTAGTGCATGGAGCATAAAAATCAGCGACCACAGACCATAGCTAGTGCATAACCCTTTTTTTTAAATATATAACAAGGAGCTGACGGTCAGCTCACCGGATGTTAAGTGATATGGACACTCACATAGCCAGAAAGCTCGCGCGTTGCCGACTTTTTAAGAATTGGTACGCTCTTTTAACCCTTATTGGTTTTTGGTGTTCAATTCATCATTAAATTAAAATAAATAATGCTCTCAACGAATTGTGATATCATTCTTGCTTTCAGAATTTACGTGTAAACATTACGAAGGCGTCAACAAGCTGGCCATGAAAGGTTTCTTCAAAATGAAATACACATCACCTGCACAACCTTCACGAACAACTATAACAACGGAAAGTACCGTTGAAATAGGTAGGCTGCTGCTGTTTACTTTTAGTTTAAACTGTTATTTAAACCATTGGTGCGACGGATATTTGTGAACAGATTTTTATAATTGTGTTATATTAACTGTTTTTATACGGTATTCCATGTTAACGAGAGATTACGTTGCGTAAAACGGCCAGGGACTCTGATGAAACTTTTGCCCAATTCTGGTGACATGTAGTAGTAATGATGGCATCTTATTTATGTTGCACAATATATTTTTATTATTACTTAAATTAGTTTGGCGTCCGCGCGGATTTCGTGCATTTTAGTCGAATTTCTGTTACGTGGAGTCTCGTACTGGGGTAGACTAAATCTAGTCCAATTTAACCCCAAGAATACACAATGGCCCCACATGGAGTACTATTCTTACCTCTGGGCAGCTGCGCCCTGCTGGTACTGAGCTGCTGCTGTCAAAGCCCTTCAGATCATCAGCGAGATTCCATTCAAACATAAAACAGCCACAGAGGCCTTCAGGCCTGTCAGTGATTAGACTCGACGAGGACAATATAAATATGTATGTGTGTATCAACAACGTATTTGCCAATACGCACACCATCACACAACACAGCTGAATGCGGTATTACTTAGTTAAATGTATTTAATGACTTTTATTGATTTTTCCTTTCGTAAATATTTGAACTTTTTTGTATATACTGTATTATTATTGTTTTTTTTATATTATAAGGGGGTAAATGAGCCTACGGGACGCCCATAAAGGTCAGTCATCACAGCACATTCAGTGAGTGCGTTGCCGGCCTTTGAGGGAGGAGTACACTCTTTGAATAGTTAGAGGTCGTATCAGGTCTTCCCTTCCCAACCGGCAGTCGATTCCACAGATCGCTTGTTCGCAAAAGAAAGTGCCTTGTCAAACGCACTGTGGAAGACTTCCTGCCATCAAGGGGATGTTTCTGAAATGAATTAAATGAATACACAAATTGAAAAATGTACGCCTCTGGCTATATTTTTAGTAAATGTTTTTGTTATATATAGTTTATGTTAGCTGTAGGATTAACTAAAACTTAAAAATGAAATAAATAAAACTTTAAAAGTAAGAATTTAACAAACAAACGTAACATTTGTGTATGTAAATGCTATTTAGGCGAAAGAAAGTGCGAAATATGACGTTGTTATCTAATATGATAAATACGAAACCAGTTAGGCCTTTGATTTCTATTATTATCTCGTGTGACGCGTGGAAACACTAATCAGTATAGTGTATAGTGTGATTAAGA